AGGACGACCCAGCAAAGCACTACGACCTGCTTCTTGGAGGACTGAGGGCCTGCAGTGAAAGTGCCTCAATGCCTCGAAGAAAGAACATGAAACGAATTTCGAAAATCACCAAGGAAATGCTAAAGAGGAGGAGAGCACTGAGACTGAATCCGACTGCATCACATCTCGAGTGATTGTAGCCAATACCGGCTGGAGCAGGTTTGCAAGATCTTCGAAAGTGCAGGTAATTGGAGAAATGGATAAGGGAGAATTCTTAACAAGTACCACAAGCACTTTCTCGTCTACCGTGTTCCGCTTACAACATCACTAAACAAAGACCGGACTCGCACATCTTCTCGGCAGATGGAATCGATCACGAAGAGACTCAACATCAAACTCTTTCGCTCGTCAACACCCGTGTCAAACCCCGTTACTCCCATTGGAGAAATACCACTACGGATTCTGCCTGCTGAAGTTCGCGCCGCAATCGGTACCATGAAGGTAGTCAGGCTCCAAGGCCGGACCATGTTTTGGCCGATCTCTTATGAGCTGGAGGACATGGCCTACACGAGATAATCGCAGAATATCTAACATCCTACCTTCAAAGAGAAAGGATCCTCGACCAGTGGAGAAGCTTCAAAACAATCCTCCTTCATAAGAAAGGCGATAGGGTGGCTTTTTGGAACCACCGTCCGTTATGCCTGCTGAGCGTGCTTTGTAAATTTTTGCAAAGATTATCATCACTCGCATATCAAGGACACTGAGAGAAGCCCAACCTGCAGAATAAGCTGGATTTCGTAAGAGATTCAGCTGCGTGGATCACTTAGACTGTTTCGAGGATCATCGAGATTTGCCGAGAGTGCAACCTACCTCTCGCCCTAAGCTTCGCCGACTATGAGAAAGCATTTGGCAGAGACTAATGCCTACCACTAGCGCTCGTCGACCAAGAGTTGAACCCATCTTAAGTGAGGACATTGGCCGAATGCTACAAGAACTGCTTTACAACGGTGCAGCTTTTCCATCGTCCCCTTAACATACCAATCTCGAAGAGGGTTCGACAAGACAACACCGTGTCGCCAAAGCTATTTACCGCTGCGTTGCAGTGGGTGATGAAATCACAGGATTGGAACGAGAGAGGTGTTCGAGTTGATGGGAAATCCCCTCGAACCTTCGTTTTGCGAGCGACATTGTTCTCTTCTCGACGAATATCACTGAAGCGAAGACGATGTTGGAAGAACTGAACGAAGTAGGGAAGCGTATAGGATTGCGAGTTAACTAATTAAGAAGATGCATCTCATGTAGAATGTTTTGCGAGGTTTAATTCGGAGACATCTTCTTACGTATATCTCGGACGTGCGATGAACATGGAGAACGATCTGAAGGAGGAACTAAGCAAGAAGCGAAGACCAGCTGGGCCGCCTTCGGGCCCTTAAGCCACAGACCAACTGACGGATCCAGAGTTCCGAGCCCACCTACGA